AGTAGCCATCTATTTATGCTCCATTTCCTCTGATGGCGGGTATCCTCACCTTGTGTTGGTGAATATTGATCCCACGTTTTCCCGCAGCCCAGTCCTCAACGTCCGGCCGGTGGCTACTACTCGCAGCAGCCAACAGAAGAGATACCGAAAATGCCCCGCTTCTAGAGGTCAAGAGTCGTCGCCGTGGATACGAGTCGCATTCACGGCTACGACTCTCCCCTTTAGACGCAGCGCCTCTTTGGTATCGCTCCTGTGAGCTGCTGCGAGTAGCCATCGATTTATGCTCCATTTCCTCTGATGGCGGGTATCCTCACCTTGTGTTGGTGAATATTGATCCCACGTTTCCCCGCGGCCCAGTCCTCAATGTCTGGCCGGTGGCTGCTACTCGCAGCAGCCAACAGAAGAGATACCGAAAATGCCCCGCTTCTAGAGGTCAAGAGTCGTCGCCGTGGATACGAGTCGCCTTCACGGCTACGACTCTCCCCTTTAGACGCAGCGCCTCTTTGGTATCGCTCCTGTGAGCTGCTGCGAGTAGCCATCTATTCTCCATTTCCTCTGATGGCGGGTATTCCCCGCGGCCCAGTCCTCAATGTCCGGCCGGTGGCTGCTACTCGCAGCAGCCAACAGAAGAGATACCGAAAATGCCCCGCTTCTAGAGGTCAAGAGTCGTCGCCGTGGATACGAGTCGCCTTCACGGCTACGACTCTCCCCTTTAGACGCAGCGCCTCTTTGGTATCGCTCCTGTGAGCTGCTGCGAGTAGCCATCTATTCTCCATTTCCTCTGATGGCGGGTATCCTCACCTTGTGTTGGTGAATATTGATCCCACGTTTTCCCGCAGCCCAGTCCTCAACGTCCGGCCGGTGGCTACTACTCGCAGCAGCCAACAGAAGAGATACCGAAAATGCCCCGCTTCTAGAGGTCAAGAGTCGTCGCCGTGGATACGAGTCGCATTCACGGCTACGACTCTCCCCTTTAGACGCAGCGCCTCTTTGGTATCGCTCCTGTGAGCTGCTGCGAGTAGCCATCGATTTATGCTCCATTTCCTCTGATGGCGGGTATCCTCACCTTGTGTTGGTGAATATTGATCCCACGTTTTCCCGCAGCCCAGTCCTCAACGTCCGGCCGGTGGCTACTACTCGCAGCAGCCAACAGAAGAGATACCGAAAATGCCCCGCTTCTAGAGGTCAAGAGTCGTCGCCGTGGATACGAGTCGCATTCACGGCTACGACTCTCCCCTTTAGACGCAGCGCCTCTTTGGTATCGCTCCTGTGAGCTGCTGCGAGTAGCCATCGATTTATGCTCCATTTCCTCTGATGGCGGGTATCCTCACCTTGTGTTGGTGAATATTGATCCCACGTTTTCCCGCAGCCCAGTCCTCAACGTCCGGCCGGTGGCTACTACTCGCAGCAGCCAACAGAAGAGATACCGAAAATGCCCCGCTTCTAGAGGTCAAGAGTCGTCGCCGTGGATACGAGTCGCATTCACGGCTACGACTCTCCCCTTTAGACGCAGCGCCTCTTTGGTATCGCTCCTGTGAGCTGCTGCGAGTAGCCATCGATTTATGCTCCATTTCCTCTGATGGCGGGTATCCTCACCTTGTGTTGGTGAATATTGATCCCACGTTTTCCCGCAGCCCAGTCCTCAACGTCCGGCCGGTGGCTACTACTCGCAGCAGCCAACAGAAGAGATACCGAAAATGCCCCGCTTCTAGAGGTCAAGAGTCGTCGCCGTGGATACGAGTCGCATTCACGGCTACGACTCTCCCCTTTAGACGCAGCGCCTCTTTGGTATCGCTCCTGTGAGCTGCTGCGAGTAGCCATCGATTTATGCTCCATTTCCTCTGATGGCGGGTATCCTCACCTTGTGTTGGTGAATATTGACCCCACGTTTCCCCGCGGCCCAGTCCTCAATGTCTGGCCGGTGGCTGCTACTCGCAGCAGCCAACAGAAGAGATACCGAAAATGCCCCGCTTCTAGAGGTCAAGAGTCGTCGCCGTGGATACGAGTCGCATTCACGGCTACGACTCTCCCCTTTAGACGCAGCGCCTCTTCGGTATCGCTCCTGTGAGCTGCTGCGAGTAGCCATCGATTTATGCTCCATTTCCTCTGATGGCGGGTATCCTCACCTTGTGTTGGTGAATATTGATCCCACGTTTTCCCGCAGCCCAGTCCTCAACGTCCGGCCGGTGGCTACTACTCGCAGCAGCCAACAGAAGAGATACCGAAAATGCCCCGCTTCTAGAGGTCAAGAGTCGTCGCCGTGGATACGAGTCGCATTCACGGCTACGACTCTCCCCTTTAGACGCAGCGCCTCTTCGGTATCGCTCCTGTGAGCTGCTGCGAGTAGCCATCGATTTATGCTCCATTTCCTCTGATGGCGGGTATCCTCACCTTGTATGGGTGGCTATGCACCCTACTTTTCCCCGCGGCCCAGTCCTCGACGTCCGACCGGTACGTCAGGATTTGCTCCAGTTGTACTGGTCCAGTCACTCCCCAATTGCTGGCGTGGTCCTGGCCCGCTCGTCGCGTGTGGGGGTAACACGCCGCCGTCTCCTCTTGGCGGCTCGGCGTCTTCTTGGCCTGCTGGGGTGGCTTTATGATACCGGCGTCGTCCGTGACAACGTCCCCAGGATCCTTGACGTCTCGAGCATGATCGCCAACCGCCACACCCGCTCCTCCAGTCTCGAAAACGTGTCGTCCTTACAGCGCGAGCGCGCGGGGATTCCCTCCCCGGCCCGCTCCTGCGCCACTACTTCTGCCTTCGGTATTGCTTGTGTCCCTTGATGCGGTTTCCCTCGGGGTAAACTCTTACGGAGTGTTTGCAGTCGCATTGAGTGCGATTTGTAGTAACGTATAAACGCCACGATAGGGAGATAATACCAGCAGGGCGGATGGTAAACAGGGAGTGCTGAAGCGCAGCAAAGAGGGTCTCTGTGAATCATCAAGGGCCCCACAAATACAGTTTGTACCATCAGTGTGACACAGCACCGCACGGCAGACGTATCCGTCGACCGACGAAACAGACCCTGCACTGTTGAAAGCATGAATGACGCCGCGTTCCGAATGGACGCGTGTAGGACTGTTGCTCAAGGATGACTGACTTATATGGAATGGCTGCCCTTCGCCCCCCCGCGCACCCTACTTTTTCGTTGTTCCAGTTCTCTTCCGCGGTGGCCTCCTGGCGACAGCCGTCGTAGGCGCCGCCGGCTTCATCGCTGGAACGTTGTTCCTGTGATTGTGAGCGTTATCTTGCTGCTTTCGATCTGTGTTTAGAGAGCGTTCACTGGTCTGTCGACGGAGTAACACATTGCAGTCCAATTCATGCGCAGGAGGTGTTCAGCCGGTTCTGTGATTGTTCTTTACGGTCGTGTACTTCACATGTTTCACGGTCGTACTGTGTAGTTGTTGCTGGGTGCCGCGTTGGCTCCTGGAGGCAACCCTACAATTTTTGTAGGATGCGCCCGGTCCCCTTCGGGAGGCCCTGATTTTGGTGTCTTGTGTGTGTGGGAGCGGGTAGCCTGCCGGGCGCCGCTGCTGATGCTAAGCAGCTCGCATAATGGCGTGTTGGCTTCTTTAGTGCTCTCTTCGTTAGTTAAAAAGACCTCCGCCTTGTTGTGGGGTTTTGGGCAGTTGGGGTGTTGGTTAGTGAGAACAGGTGGCCATTTTTCCGTGGCCTCGATGTAACGTGTTTTGATGTGCCTGCCGTGTGTGTGACATTCATTTCCCGACCTTGGACGGGTGAAGTCCACCTCTAGCTTGCTGAGGTTGCGTGTCCGATATTGGCCATCTTTTGTGTTGATTCCTGCTGAACGATGATTTTGTTTTGGCGCACAAGCCATTCTGTGTTGTTTGCGGACAGCCAGTTATTTTCCGTGTCCTTGGAGCGGAGAGTTGGCGTTTTTTTCTTCTCTTTTTATTCGATTCGGAGCCTAACTCGTTGACAACAGTAACGGCAGAATTGTAGTAGCTTCTGTGCGGTTGCCGTTTGGTCCTCATCGCCGCGGTTGTGTTATTGTGGTATGGTATGAAGGTCATGGGCCACGGTGGGCCTTGCTTGCCTGACGTTGTACAGGTCATGTGCGTTATGAATGCATGCACTATCTCTTGTGTATCCGGGCATTCTCCGCGGGAGGAGAACGACAGGGGTGGCTATTCTGCGACATGGACTACACTGCATGTAATATTTGTATGAGTTTGGGTTCATGGTGTTTGTGCCGAACTCGACGCATACATGCGTTTCAAAGGTGCAGAGAAAAGCATGTGCACCCACACTGCCGTTTTCGGTATTCAAAATAAGAAATGGATAATACTTATGAAACCCTTGTTGGCGGTGAAGGCGGCTCGTCGGGATGCGGTGTGCGGATTCATGACCCGCCACATGGCAATCTCCACGCCCGGCGTGGCGGCGACCAGGCGACGCTTTTACACCAATACGCTTCAAATTGACATGAATGATGACAGGGGAGTGCCGGGCCTGCAGTGTAGGTATAAGGAAATAATTTGCTAAACGTTTTCGTCGGTCAGATGAACGGTACTTGTCATGGTACCCCCAATTTGACTTCACGACTGAGAATCATTGCAATCATCCGCTGGTAGTTGGTGAGTGTTTTCTGTGGAAGTTAAATGCCGCAAACGCTACTCAAAAGTGACAACCTCGGCTGATCGAATGTAATATAAATACACTTCCAAAACACCGGTCGGGAGAACGAGATGCAGGTTTAACAAGCAAGTACATCACGCGGAGATCGATAATGGTCTACGTACCCTCGGGGGATACAGCCAGCAACGTTCCGACACATGTGTGTTTACCTGTGTCCTCCACGACACGCGCGCATGAGAATCATCCTTCATGGAGAGGAGGGGGGACTCACAGATGAGCAGACGCAAACGAGGGCCATTATCGATATGTGTGTTAGACAAGCTCAGACTGAAATCCCGGGGACAACTGTGTAGCAGCCCCGTACCTGCGCGCCCGACGACTCCGTGCGGCACTACTCCCATTTTCTGTGCGCACACACGCAAATTGACACACTCACGACCACCCCACCGCGTGCTATACCCCCAACACATTACACTCCTTGGAAGGAGCATAGTTAGGAACTTGGCTGGCCACTAAGAGCAGGAAGCAGAAGGGAGCGGACCAGTGGGCAGCAGTAGGGCAGTACCTGAGACGGTGTCCGCTCATATATATCATCATCATGAGGGCAGCTACGGCCAAAGCTGCGCTGCTGGGATGCGCTGCCATCGCGCCGACAGCAGCCTTCACAGGAGGGGCTGGTCTTGCTAGAGCAGCTGGTGGGAGGGATAGGCGAGCAGCGTCGTCTACGGCAGGAGTGCGGATGATGGCGATTGACCCCGCCACCGTTCACTCGATTGGGGAACACGTGAACGCTGTCGGGTCGGCGGGACTTGACCACACGTGGTTGTCGCACGTCATGCACGGTAAGTGGGCCAGAAAGCTGACGGCTTTCGCATGGGAGTGCCACGCTATGCTCGCGCTAGCAGCGGGTTACGGGAGGGCGGTGTGAAATTGTTGAGGGTACCGTTTTGCCTTCCTACAAGTACAACCTCTTGACCTCTTGTTGACCAACCCCTTGCTGAGCGACACTGCGACAGCATCTCCATGAAGGAGCATGTAGTCTAAGGTTCAACATTAGTCAGTGTTGGTCAAGAAGAAGCTTTGTCATGCGTTGATGTAACGCTCGAGCGACTTGCCGTGCGACTTCTTTCGGCCGAAGAGCGGTCGTTTGCTACGGCCGATTAAGGTTGCAGACTCAACACGGTTACAAAGCTGCCGTTTGGGTCCCAACGTCAACATGAACACATGCACATAGCACGCAGCACCAGTCCGTTGCCAGACCCACCGCCTGCAAGTCAGACTGTAGCAGATACGCTCCACAGCAGTGCTGCTTGCTGAACCCGAGGCTAACTGCACTCAGGGGTTTTGATATGAATCGTATGTCGTGCTGCTGTTTTCAGTTCTAGCAACCATGTGCAGATGTACGTACATATCAAAAGTCAACAACTTTCCAGTTCACGGTGGTTCTGCAGTCTTTCATGTACACATACGTCGTCATGGCAGCAGTAGCCTCCTTGTCCTGCTGCCTTGTTGTTAGTTGCGGGGGTGGTCCTTGTGTCCTGAGCGAGAGTCAAGGAACAAAGAGTCGCGGCTCCGTCTTTCTTAAAGTATACTGTATGTTTTGCCCCTCATTTCGTCTTCGTAGTGTATACCCGATCATAGCAGTTCAGCAGTACTGCGTCCCTCATCGAAAGAAACGGCAGATCGGCAAATCAGTGTTATCTCTCTTAAGCATGTTATCCGCGATATGTAAGATCATGCTCGCAAGAACATCTTTTGTCTTTCTTGTGGCGTCGAAGGAGAGTTGTGACAACATGCAGTTTTCTAAGCGGTACTGCTGTCCAGGGGTCAGTTGCCGAGAAAAAGGAAAACAACTGTCCCGCAGCAAAACACAAAACAACTCTGTACAACACTGCTGTTTTTTCAGTCGGGCTACGCGGACACCACCACCGCCCCCATCAGCAACGGCTTCTTTTTGCTCCGTACGTGATACCATGTGTTTTTTATTATTAGCATCGACCACGCTAATCGACTGACCAATGAAAACCCGTGAGGGGGCGTCATGGGGGAGGCTTTCCTACTGTCCGGATTAAAGACAGAAACGGTAATCTCTGTGTGCATGGTGTTCTTGTTCTTGAAATGTGCAGGCCTGTCGGATGCGGCTGCGGTTCCCCTGGAAGCGGTGGAGGAAGAGGCCAAGGGCCCCAACCCTTTCAGCTTGTGGATCGAGTTTATTCGAAGCAGCGTGCTGGGAATCAATGACTTCTACAAGGGTGAGCGAGAGACCAGCAGCAGTGAATCAACGATATTGTAGCCGTCTAGTGTATCTTACGCATTGTGGTTGGTGCTGACTATCCAGTTCAAGGCCACGACCTAGTGTTGAGGGATTTTTTGTTTCATCAATATGACCCAACGAATCCATCTCTGTCGAAGAAAGGGAATTTTCGAGTTTTCCTCCAAGAAGAAATTCGTTTTGAAGGTTAGGGAAGGAGCCGCTTGGCTCATGTGAAACGGTTTTCAAGTGCATCGGTTTCTTGGAAGGGTATGAAGGGTTCTGCCGTCTCTGTGTGCTCCCAACACATCGTAATACGACTATGTAATGTACCTCAGATCAGAGGTCGGATGGGGAGAGAGAGAGAGGGAGAACTGGTGGTAAGACCACCTCGTTTCTTTGGCGTTGGATGTGTTGGTTGGATGTTAAATGTCCACAAGGAGTGCTTCGACAAGACGTATCCTCTGAGGCGTGCAGTACCTTCCTCATCCCTGAGTTAACAATCCATGAATTGCTTGGCGCGATCATCTGGTGCTGTTCTACCTCCAGCGGCGGGGGTGACGGAGAGGGGCAAGGAGCTGCGCAGATAGGGGGGGGGGGTATGCAGCTCATGGCGTGCTCCTATTTTTGGGCCCTTACGTATGTGCGTTTAAGTGTGGCATTGTACACCAGGCGGCTGGGCCCAGCAGCGGGATATGAGTACGTCTGTTAACAGTGGGGAGGGGTGAAAGTAGTGTGTGTGCCTTGTTACGATATCGCTAAATCACAATGACGAGTACATGACTCGCATGTGTGTGAAGGGAGGGGTCTTGAAATGGCCCTCTTCCTGGTGCATTTCAGTTACCAAAACCAACCGTCATAGTCATGAGTGGGCGCCGGTTTCCCCTTGGTCACAACACCCCCTGCTTCCCTACACACATCTATAGGTATCGGTATCGAGCAGTCGTTCGGCCTCGCGATCGTGACGTTCACCCTCGGAGTCAAGACCCTCCTCGTGCCCCTCCAGGCGATCCAGCTCCAGTCGAGCGAGAAGATGCAGGTGCTCCAACCCACGGTAAAGGAGATTAACGCCAAGTTCGGCCAGAACAAGGAGGCCGCCACCGCTGCCACCAACAGGCTGTACGCGGAGACCAAGGTCAACCCGCTTATCGGGTGCCTCCCCGCCCTGCTTCAGGTACGGGCACAGAGAGGGCGTAAAATTCGCGGCCCGCCTGCTCGATTATTCGGCCATGATCTGTCATGTAGCCGTGCTTTGTTTCAGGGACACGGCGTGGATTGGGGTGCGGTGTGTCGGTTTCTTTTCTTCCATCAAATTCGTTTATCTTACGTCATATGCGTGTTTTCATTTCATGTTTTTATGTACGAAAACACGAAAATATGATTTTCGTCCAGTCCCAAGAGTCCGGGATAGATGTCTTGTTACGTAAGCGTCAGATGCTTTTGACAATGGTTGACTCAAGACCTTGAGATGAACAAGTGGATAGCAGGGCAAGCGAGTCCGGCACACTATCAGAAGGGGGTCCGCCCTTCCAGTAACACACAAGTACCAATCTACCTAGATCCGCATCTATTTGGTTCTGAGTACACCCAACAGCCCCCCTACTTGGTTCTAGATACGATCTCATTTTTTCCTCTAACGCGCAACTTGGCCGTCACAACCTAACATCTTGAATCTGGATTAATCGATTATCCCAATTCGAAACAATCCTGCTAAGATGTGAGACCACCTTCATACAGGTACAATCTCCCCACCTTCATTGTCTCCTTTTACAATGGCGTCGACAGATACGTCAGAGTGTCTGCGTTTGGTTGCAAAAGACGCGGGTTCAAAACCCGCTGCTCACCCAAATGATCTTTCGGAATGCAGAAAAAGAAAAAACGGTGGGTGGGTCAAAGAAGGACGCACTCATCACCGAACTCGGAACTTCTGATGACGTGGCGGACGTAGCGAACCCGTGGAACATGCACGGAGGATTGTGAGAAGTGAATCGCCCCGCCGCAGCCGGTCGGAATCCGGTTACCATTAGCAGACTTATCTTGCCTGATGAACAAGAAGAAGCCTGGAACAAGGGGGAGGTAATGTGGAGACCACCTTCACAGAGGTGCAATCTTCCCAACGTCTGTCGAGGACGATTGCCTCTTTTCACAAAGATCACGTTGTCCTCCAAAATCATTGATTTCCCGATATAACTCTCTCGTCCAAACCCGTTGGATCTTCGAATGTCAGGTCATTTCTCTTTATCCATAGAATAAAAACACAATCTATCCCCTCAAGATGGTACTCTCCGGAACTGCATCGCTCCAAAACAACGTCTCGACCACACGAAAAAAGTCATCGACGAAAAACCCCATCACCATCACATGTTCACCTCTTGATTCCCCTCCGAAAATACATGCCGTTCAAGGTTTAACTGCGAAAACCATCCAGAACGCTTCTCACCACTTCTTTAGGTGCCAAAACACATTAGTAATCCTCAGCAAATATCTTCGTGGAAGCAACATTCCTGCCTAAATGTTCTGCCACTCGAATAAAAATTTGGAACAAAAACTAGCTTTCAATTTTTTGACAAATAAGCACTAGAAAAGCACACAGGCTCGAACCAGTACTCGGCAGTACCCATGTCCAACCCCTCCTCTAGAATGAAAATAGAGTGCAAAACCAGTCTCTACTAATGAAATCGTCAACAGTCTCGGCTCTGGCATACTCAATGCAGGAAAATATATTCAACATCCGCCCTGCTGTGACTTCCCAGGACTTTCAATCATATAGTCGGCAAAATGTCATCTCAGCAGGCAAATCGCGATAGTTGCGAATTCTGAGAACAAAGGATAAAATATCATCCTGAAGACAAGAACAAAGTGTCACCGGTGCACCTATAACATCTCGTCATCAGTCTTAGGCAAAATCCGATTCCTGATATTTTCCCAAGCGTCCCACACAAGATGCACGGTGGTGAAGTCGAGACTCCAGCGACGTACCAGTAGTAATAGGGTCAAGCAGGATCCCGAAAGCACGAGTATGGTCACTGACGGTCCCTTGACCGTATTACGCCAGTTAGAGAGTACTGTTTGTCGCCGTTGATAGGGATGCGTGGAGGTTCAGGCTGTAATAGATGACGAGAGAGAGAGAGAGAAGGGAGAGAGCGAGAGCGAAACCGAGCTGAAACGGCGGAGGAGCTGGTTCTACAGCAGAAGGCTCAGGCTCAGCTCGATGCAGCCCGCGTCTCGGACGATCTACCGTCAATAGAGGAGCTATGGATGAAGGAGGCAGTAGGCCCTCTACTGCTGGATTTGGTGGTGGATCTGGTGGAGATATAACGTAGCCTCACGGGGGAAGCGGAGCCCGGGGTGGATGCGTTTTTCCAATTCGTATTTTATGCTCGGTAGGAGAGAGCCCCCCTCGAAATTTCCCAAGAACGGGAAACACTCACTTGGGAAAAGCGGTCGAAGAACTTACACGCCATGCAGAGCGAGACCGCCAGCCGTAGAATCATCCTCGCCAGGTTCTGCACCTAGCATATGCTTCGCGATGCTCCACTGACTAGCGCGGGGAGTTTGTTCGGCGAGTGGCTTTGCGACACCGCGTGTTGCGCTCGACGAGCGTTTGTCGTATGTAGAACTAGTTCCTCCGCCGTTTCAGCTCGGTTTCGCTCTCGCTCTCGTCCTTCTCGGTCCATATCGCCGAGCATCTGCGCTTTCTCCAGCTCCTTGGCGGACTGGGCTAGTCTGGCTCTAGGTTCAACCATCTCATCAGATTCTTGTCATCTCCGTCTCCACAAAACACGAAACACACGCACGCACACACAACATCACTAGCCGTGAGCCGGAAGACGTGACGAACACCACAGACAAATAAGATGTATCCCGACGCTCCCCAAGTTGACGAATCGGCTCACGCGTATGCATAGCTCCATGCCAACACCGACACCCCGCAGGATTCTTGCTCTGATCTATCGAATTATTGCGTAGCGGGTGCTTAACGCCAGGGACTGTGGAGGAAAAGTTGCCTCAGCCTCAAGGCCTTGTTATGACCGAGTGAGACAGCAGGGCAAGAAGCGCTGCACACTCAAAGGGGGTCCGCCCTTCCAGTAACACATTCTAGTATGATACACAAAACCCCGTAGATCTACGTAGATCCGCGTCTAGTGCTGAGTACACCTAACGTCTTGTTTGTGTGTTTATACTAGTTTTAGAGGAAAATAAACGATTCAGGCTGTATGGCGAAACTTGCGGCCTGGCGGCTCGTTCGGGTGGGTGCCTTCATTGTTAGGTCTGCTTCAGAGGCAGATGTCAGGACTAGGAGTGCTGCTCTGCAGCATGTGTGCTTGCGGACGTTCAACCCCCCGCTTTGTTCACCGTGTCGTGTGTGTTGCATATCAGACGCTGACGTATGATTGGGTGACGGTTGCCGATGTTTCGTGGGGCCGTTTGTTGAATCTGGAGTCTGGCGGCGTTAAGCCCGGGCAGGGCGCCTTGTAAACATGCTGTCGCTCGAAAAGACCAGCTCAACTACCACCGCCAGCAGGCGTCTGTGTCCTCGGTGCACCTCAAGAATCACCATGATCACCATGATATTGAGAGACAAATAGGCACCTGTCCTTGGTATTCCTCCAAGTATCATTATCATCATCATCATCAGGGACTAGTGTTGTGTATGACATCCATTGCGAAGCGATGTGAATGGGGAGCAACTGCACCTTGGTTGTGTCTCTGAATTTCTCTTTCAGTTCTGCCCGGCTTTGTGTCACACTCGAGCGAAACCCGGCGCCGCACTCTCGTGATTCGCTGGTCGATTTGGTACCCACGCTTTGACCCGCTCCCCCCTCGTCGTCTTTTAGTCTGCGTTGCCCGCCGCTTCGTACTCAAGGAATACTACATGTCCTCTCCATCGGCCTTTTCTTGTGTCGTGCATGTTGCGACGCCCCTTGTCCTGTGTGACATCCGTTGCTGTGTCTGCGGTGCCCCTCGCGAACCTTGCCTAGTTCCCAGTGTTCATCGGCCTGTGCTGCGTGTTCGCTATCCCCTCCCTCAGTCTTTTTTCTTAATGCATATTGCGTCGCCCCTTTGTCGCGTGTGACGTCCGATTTTGCGTCTGCGGTGCCCCTCTCCTCCCTTGCCTAGTTCCCGGTGTTCATCGGGCTGTACCGTGCCATCATCGGCTTCGGCACCGATGCTGTCGCCAACGAAGGTTTTCTGTGGCTGCCTAGCCTACAGGTGGGAGTGAAGAATGAAGCGTCCTGTCGCGTTTTGTGTTTGCGTGGCTTGTTGGCCAACAGGGGTGCGTCCACCTGTCCCCCCTGGTTTAGCAGGGCATGGTTTGTTTTGGGCGGCAACGAGGACGCTTTTGAGAGCTCCTTTCGTTTTTCTGGTGCTACTGCTGCACAATGAGGGGAGAGAGTGCTGCAATCTTCTCGCGTTAGTAATCGAAGGCCAAGCACCGCGGGAGGGGTCGGTAGGGGACCTCAGGAGGAGGAAGAAACCTTCTGTCATATGTGCTGTGACCACGAATTGGAGCTCCCACCCGGCAGAAGTGTTGCGAGCGCTGATATATAGTAAAGTGGTGGAAAAACAAAGATTGATTTCTTCTGGCGGAGTTGGGGTGTAAGTGATCACACACTCTTGTTTTTGTTGAGATGAAAAAAATTGAATTTGCCCACCCATTCTTTCGGTCGTGTTGCTAACAGGTAGTTCATGTTTCTTGTCATTAAAGTGTACAGTGCGGGGCACGTGTTGCACGCCATCACCAGCTCCGGCGCCCCTTGGCAAGGCCTCATTTCTCTGTGCTCCGTACAGGTGTTCGGATGAGGTACTCTGCCGCTCCGATGCACATGTTTACTCGGTCAACGCGTAGCATAGGTGGGTCTTTGTTACCCGTTTCAGCTGACACGACGAGGCAAAAAAATGTCGTGCATACTTCTTCCATCACTTACCCCCTGGCTCCATCCTCTCCGAGGACGCATGATCAATGGGTCAACAGCACATGAACTATACCGGATTCTTATCCGTGGAAGAGGTGAGTTGTTGCGTGTTTGTAAGTAAAAATGCTCAACGTGTACGCCCCCCCCCCCCCCCCCCCCCCCCCCCCCCCCCCCCCC